TTACGCGAGCTGCTCATAGCAACGGCACGGGGTTTCCCTCATCATCGTGCAATTTCTGCACGCGCAGATTCATGGATTCGCATAATTGCTATCTGTTAAAATGTTTCGCGGCTCGTAGAAAAGTCGAGCGCTACACGGCAACTCGAAACTCGATTAACGCGTCACAAGTTCGTTATGTGCGCGCGTTTCGCCTTTATACTATAATATATGATAATACTATCTGATCTCATCTATCTAACTATCTATATATAATATTAATATACCTAGTATACTAGCTATATAATATAATATATATACGCATATTAACACTTATATATAATGGAGGTTCTTTCGCCGGAGATTATGAATTTCACTTTTCGTTAAGCATGCTTTCGTACAGATCGGTTCCTACGCGTTCCCGTCCGCGCGCAAGTTTCTATAATTTAAGCAGTAATCAGCAACGAGCGGCCGCAAGCGGAGTCGGGCATTTTGCTCCTGCGATATTTATTACTCGATACGCAGGCGTGAGCGAAATTGTGTGATCTATGGTATATTACTATATTTAAATGTATAAAATGCATATTAATTATAATATAGATTTAAGCAAGCATGACTATATACATGTTATATATGATATAAAAATACTACACACACGCGCACGCGCGCACGCACCACGCACGACGCCCGACGGCGGCGCACCCAACCGCAAACCCCCACCCCCCCCAAAAACACACACACAACAACACATCACACACACCACACCAACCCCACACACACACTATATATATACTATAATATCTAATATATTATATATTTGATATATACAGAGCCGCCGTGGTCACCTATCAAGCGTGGAGACGAGGGTTGTAGATCGCTGGTCGATGGGGAGGAATCTGCAGATGGATAAGACAACGCCAAGTTTATCCGTAGTCACGTCTTCTGTGAGCGGATACGTGTGGTGGAGTCGTGAGGTGGTGGGGTGCAACTATGGGGAGGAAGTTGGTAATGGCGTCAGACGAATCCGAGGATGATATGTTTATCGTCTCGTCGGATGAGGAAGAGAACACGCGTCCGCTCGCCTCCCGTTACACTCACTCCGTGTCCATACACAACACACATACCACTCACAACACACACATACCACACACACACACACACACACACCACACACACACACACGCACAGCACACACACATCTACCACCCGCATCAACACAACACACATACGACACACACACACACACAACGACACACACACACACACAACTACCATCCCACAACAACACTACAACACAAGATAGATAGATAGATAGATAGATAGATAGATAGATAGATAGATAGATAGATAGATAGATAAATATAAAGATATATATATAGATAGATAGATAGATAGATAGATAGATAGATAGATAGATAGATAGATAGATAGATAGATAGATAGATAGATCGATCGATAGATAGATAGGGCGGTGCACGCGTGCGGTAGAAATCTTTGCTCATTCGGGCGCACATCAATGAATATGGCAAGCGACGTATTCAAAACTACGCGTCCGTCTTCCGCACGCATGCACGCATGATCGAGAAATACATACAAAAGGCCTTGGCCTCGGTTTTTACAGTGACGAATATTGAACATAGACAGGGAGCTAAATGCGGGGTAGGGGGCGCCACGACGGTGCGTGAAGGTCGTTTCTTCGTACTTTCTTACATTCCTCTCTCTCGCTCTCTCTCTTTCCGTCTCCCGCTGTACTTTCTTATACTCTTCTGTACTTCCTTACTGTTTCGCACTTCTTTAGTCTTCCTCCCTTTCTTACACTTCCGTACTATCTGCCCATCCGTACTCTTTTTTTACTCTTCCTCCCTTTCTTACTCTTCAGCACCTTCTACCCTTTCGTACCTTCTACCTTTTCGTACTTTCCAAATGTTTCGTACTTTCTACCCTTCCGTACATACTTAATATTCCGTACCCTCTGCTCTTCCGTACGTCTCTACAATTATTTTTCTTTTTTCGCTGTACTTTCTTAGTGTGTTCCGTACTTACCTACTCTTCTGCACCACCTGCCCTCCCATACTTCTCTAACACTTCTCTCTCTCTCTCCGTCTCGCTCTGTAGTTCAGCCGGTGACCGTACAGCTGCGTATAGCTCCAGCCGACGTCGTTCGGGACACGGCGCTGGGTTTCGACGCCGACACCAAGTACGTGTATCTGTCGGCGAGCTCGACGTCGCCAGGCCTGACGTTCCACGAGGACATCCCCGTGCTGCTGCGACACGCCAGCGGTCACCTGTTCCTACACACCGACAAGCCCGTCTACACGCCCGACCAACACGGTATGTATGCAGATACATATATATGTATATATATAGAGAGTGAGTGTCTATGTGTAATGAATGTAAATAATACTTATTATATCAACGAATAGTATGAATAGAGATTCGATTGTCTAGAGATTCCTACAGATATATCATATACTCCTGATTAGTTATATATGCTATATTTCTGGCTGTTTAATACTAGATAATCTTCAAGGATGAGAGCGAGAGAGAGAAGAGAAGAGAGACGAGAGAGAGAGAAGAGGAGAGAGGAGAGAGAGAGAGAGAAGAGAGAATGAGAGAGTGTGAGTGATGCGTGTGTGTGATGTGTGTGTGTGTGTGTGGTGTGTGTGTGTGTGTGTGTGCTGGTGTGTGTGTGTGTGTGTGTGTGCGTGGCGTGTGAGAGAGAGAGAGAGAGCAAGGGAGAGAGAAGAAGAAAGAGAGAGAGAGATAGAGAGAGAGAGAGAGGGAGAGAGAAAGAGAGAAGGAAACTTCGTTTAGCGCGTGTTTGGTTTTGTAAAAGTGTAACTAAACAAAACAGAACTGAATTTATCCATCACGAGATACACACATACGCGCGTGCCTAGATGCGACGTAACTAATTATTACGTGCATCTAATTAAATTCGCTCGTTTATCTAGTTCTAATTATAATGATTGCGTATGTATTTTCAAACAGTGCGCATCCGAGCGTTTCCACTCAACGAGGATCTTGTTCCCCAGGGCGAATCCGTGCGCATCGACGTCGTCGTAAGTTACATATTATACCAGGAGCTAATAATAACTCATGATTGTATTATTATAAACGTATTATTAGCTCTTAAATATTACGAATAATTAAACCAAATAAATCAAAAATCTAAATTCTAGAATGTAATCTAAAATCGAAATAAAAAATGCATCTATCAAAAATGTAAAATCTCAATCTAAATAAAAACTGTATTATTAGCTTTTTTATATTACAAGTAATTAAACCACATAAATCATTAATGATTATTTCAATATTTTTTAATATTATTTAATTATTTAATTGTTATATTACCATATATCTTAGTTTAAGTTATTATATTTAAATTGCGACCCGCGAGTTCCAATGCTCCTGGGGTTTTGCGGCCCGGGATTTTATACACGCAGTCCTCGAAGAACGACTGAAAGCGCTGCATGCTCTTTGCAAGTCCCGGGCTTGAATTATAGAGTGTAATTGCATAGCACGCGGCTGGTTATAGAAAAGCCTTGTCGAGTTAGTAGTAGCGGTGGGAGAATAATCGATAGCCATGTATCGTAATGAGCTTTATTCGTGTCTCGGGCATGAGTGTGGCATTATAGAAACATGGTAGAAGTTTGTGAAAATTCCGGCCAGGCTGCGTTATATCACAGCCCGCCATCCGGGCAACGAGCGTGCAGTACAGAGTGAGAGAGCGAGAGAGAGAGAGAGAGAGAGAGAGAGAGAGAGAGAGAGAGAGAGAGAGCAAGAAAGAAAGAGAGAGAAAGAGAAAGCGAGAGCAAGCGAGAGGGAAAAAGAAAGTGAGAGGGAGAAAGAAAGAGAGAGGGAGAGAAACATAAGAAAGAGAGATAAAGAGAGTGAGAGAGAAAGCGAGAGAGATAGAGACCAAGAAGGCGGGCCAGAGAGCAAGAAAGTGAGAGAAACAGGGAGAGAGAGCGAAGAAGAAAGAAAGAAAGAAAAATTGAGCGAGAGAGATAGAAAGCGAGAGAGAGAAAGAGAGAGAGATATATAGAAAGCGAGAGAGAGATAGAAAGAGAGAGATAGAAAGAGAGAGATAGAAAGCGAGAGCGAGATAGAAAGCGAGAGAGAGAGAGAGAGAGAGAGAGAGAGAGAGAGAGAGAGAAAGAGAGAAAGAGTGAGAGAGAGAAATAGAAAGGACGTAAGAGACAGGTCCGAATAGCGCACGTAGTTGCTCCGCAATAATAACTAATGACGACGTATAGTACATATAGACGTCGCCGTACGTGCAGACAGGTAAGCGACATATAACAGCGTAGCACACGCAGCCGTCCTGAGTGACATCAACTAGCTAGCACGCATCATCATCAACACGCGCGAGCCGCAGCAAGGATATCACATCACCGACACACACACACACACACACAC